ACTTTCTCCTTTAATTTATATTATTTTTCATATTTGAGAATTGCTCCAGTAAGAGAGATAAGCCATCTCCAAGAAAACTTGTGTAATACTTTTATTTATTTATTTATATTTTATAAAATAAATATTAGTGCTCATACTTTTAAAAAATAAAGTTTGAGTGATATTGCCTTAGAGATGGATATAGGAAAGAATGAAGATATGTAACTTTGAGTTCAATCTACTTACTAGTTCTGAACAAATCAATCATCTGTGCTTAGTTTCCAAAATATGTAAGTGTAAACTTTGTACTCAATATCGTAGGATAATGGTGAGCTGAAATAAGTTGATGTATTTGAAACATTAGGAAAAGTACTTGACATTTACTGAAAGTCATGTAGAATGTGTTCAATGGAGAAAATGTTCCCTAAACACTGATCCTAAACACTTTGGGATTAGCATGGTGTCCAATGTAAGGAGGTTGTGTCTTAGAAAAATATTGTTAAATATATTACTTCCAAGAGAATTCCAATAGTGATAATGAACCAGAAAAATTAAAAAAATAGGAGGGATTACTTGATTGTGCAGTACTAATCGCATCAAGCAAGTAACTCTTAGCTTTGTTCTGTCATGCTGACTTCTCTGACCATGTTGAATCTGCCCACTCACTATCATTATTGCCACCCAACGTGCTCCCCATCCTACTTCTCCCACCTTCAGCCAGAATGTGATCACTACATTTGAGTATGATAGATGTCCAGAGCACATTAACATTTCTACCAATGCCCAGTTTTTTTCTATACTCCTTGTTAGAAATAACTTTTCTGAAAGTGATTTTGAAGCTTGTAACACACACACACACACACACACACACATGCATAAGTTATCTAAAGATACATACACACATATATATGACAGGCATTAGATGCAGTACATTGTAATGACATCTGAAATCACCATTTTCTCTAGTTCCAGGACATTACAAATAACATCCATTACATAATGACCCAAGAACTTTTTTCTTATTCTTCCAAATCCACCACACTTAGATTATGCTAAAATTTCCTGGGAAATCCACCATTGCTCTGTGCATTCTTTCAAGTTTAGACAGGATCTTATCTTCAAAGCTATTTACTTATGTTGTAAGAGGTATTCACATAGTTGGCAAAAATTCTTTCTATTCAGCATGTTTAAAACAAATGATATGTAAAGGAAATCACATTTAATAGGGATATACATATATATATATATATATATAAAATGAAAATTTAAACAATTATTTCTATGTTACTTTCTTAGCATGTTTGTAGTTTGTATTTTCCAATTAACTTTATTCCTGCTCAAGTAGTGTCATTCTTACTTCATCAGAATTTACTTTTGATTAAAAGCATAAGATCCTTATACACCCATGAAATTACAAAGTACCATCTCAAACAGATAAGATTTAGTTTCAGTCTCAACTTCCTGAAATTACTTACTGATATTGGAGGCTGATATTGTAAAAATGTACATTACATTATTACTATTTCATAGAGAAAAAGTATTAATGGACTGTATTTAAACCTCATTTCAGGTTTATCCCTTATCTATTTTTCCTCTTACATTTTCTGATAGTTTTCATACTTTGTCTGAATAATAATACTGTAGCTACTTTTTTTACTTGTGATTAAAATTTCCTACCTGGAAGGTAGAATGAACTGTGAGGAAAAGTATAAATAGGTACAGAAAGGGTTTAAGAGAGCATCACAAAAATATGAGCATTTCTATAGCCAGTCTTCAAGGACCAAAGAAACATTAGTAGGTGATCCAGTGTAAAAAACTGACTGTGGTACACTGAAATTTTACTTGAATCTGTTTATGAAAATTCAGTGGACTGTATTCATTTGCCAATAAATTAGCCTTAATAAAAATTATCAAGGAATAGAAGGCAATGTTAAATGTGGTGCATATGACCCACAGAGCCTTAAATTATTCTAAGCATGTATTTGTGGAGGAGATGAAGGCTATCTCAATGACTTAACTCATCAGTTCAGTTATTTTTGTTCCTTAATGAAGATCCATTCTTTTTCCTGGAAGAACATTGCTTAGATTAATCAGCTCTCATTCCTTTCTACGAATTTTATCAAAATTACTTCTTACTTGCATTCCAGAGAATCAGTGAGTGATTCCAAAGGCAAATTAACAATGATCCTTAATATATGTCAAATAAGATAGCTACATGGCATCATCAGTGCTTTCATTCTGAATGCCCTTCCCAAATCTGTAACATCCAATGAATATTAACAATGACCAAAAAGCATATAGGTTTTGCCATTAGAGAGGTGTAGCTTAAAAATACAAATAGGCCTTTTAATAGATTTCCAATTTGGATGAGTTACTTTAAATATATTGAAATATAATTGAAATATATTTGAGGATTCAATGAAATTATATAATAATTTTAACTGCATAAATTCTGTGACACATGGGCTTTAAGACTAGCTATACCAATTATTTTATTTTCCTTTTGATTGAAATTAATTCCCAATTTTGGGAAGGATATTTGTAGTGATGTGTTTATTAAATGTATGATTTAGTGCAGTGGCTAAAAACTTTCATACTTAACTTACTTATCCTTTATCACACAATTACAAAATCTTCATCTTTATTCCCAAATGAGACATTGAAATTCAGAGATTAACTTCCACTAACTCATAAAGCTGGAAAATGATATGTATAATCTCAGAGTACTTAAAATTAAAGTATGTTCCTGAGCTACCAGCTTGCAGGCTCTGCTGAGCTTCTCTAGCTGTAATCTTTCCTTTTTCTCTAATAAATCCTACTTTATATACCAAAAATAAATAAATAAATAATGTTCCCTTTAACACAGTTCTACATAGCATGTATTTGATTAGAAACACAAAGACACAGAGACAATAATTTCCTGCTTTTAATCAACATAAAATGAGTGAATTGATATCATAAAACAAAACATATTAACAATTTTATAAAATTTAATTTCAAGTTGTATTCTAATAAATCCTAATTAATATGATAGAATTAATCTCATTTAATTAATTTTGATTAACATTTGAACTGTGTAGTTATGAATGAAAGTTGAAATTTGAGAGTTCTACTGCTTTCTGTATGTTCCACTTTCATTTTCATACAGTTTCACTAACACTCAGGTTAGAATGCTGAAAACATCAGCCAATGCCATTGCTGTAATCCAGGCAAAATAGCATTTCTTAAAAAGTTCCCTCTGTTCCACTAAACTAGTTTATTTCTTATTGTTAATGATTTTGCTTTCATCTTCCCATTTTACACAGTGTAGATATATTTCTTTGACTGTGGAGAATGGGGAAGAAGCAAAAATAGAAAATAGAAAATTATCAGAAGTTGTTTACAAAATGTTTGCTATGTTTTCTACATAGATTTATTGGCTCAAGGGGATCAATTCAGTGAATCAAAATTGCCAAAAGAAGAATATACACAAAACACAGAGGAATATAAAACACAATACACATAAACATTAAAATTGGAAAGGAAGCTTGGGGGACTGTGCCCAGTGAGAGACAGAACAAAATAATGACAAACAAATAACAACACTGTATGAAGGTTGTTTCCCTTTGGCATCCTTTTTTGAGACAGACATAGTGGCCAAATATAGAAGTTTAATTCCTAATACTTAAAGTGCACAATGCTTCATAATATTTTCAAACTGGGAATCTACTGCATTGAACCAAAACATACATTGACTGCATTATGGCTAGTCTGCCTCCTTCAAGAAGTTTTACTTCCATAATGCTGCTTAAGCTTGATACTTTCTCCCACACAATCTATCCCATACAACAGCAATGAAATAAGAAGTGTTTCTTCTTTTTACTAAGTAATGTTATAATTTATAGGTCAACACATTATTATTAATCAGTACCTTTCATGAAAAATTAATTATATAGTGCTGCTCATATAAGACAGTGTGACTGAAAAACACCAATAAAATGTGTAGGACCTTAGCAAAATCAGGTAAAATATAAAAGTAGAGCAAAGACTTCTTTTTTGCTTTTTAAATTAGGCTACTGTATTAGGTCAATGACTTTAGTCAAGTCAGTGAACTTTTCTGAGAATCAAGTTACTCATTTATGAAAAAGACACAGCATGTTAATTAAGCCATATGAATGATGATAACTGAATTGGATATGTCATTCCACATACCTACTCCAAAAGATGGCATGCAATAAATGCTCTTCACATGAGAGTGTTGTTTAGGAAATCCCTGTCAAATTTCTGGGTTAAATAAGAAAAATAGTGTCTACATATATTTATGTCTTTATTATTTTATTAATACAGAAAAGCAAGAGGACATATAAAACCAGATATAACAGTGATTTCAAAATAATCAGGAAAGAAAAAATATTATAAATTCCAAATTATTCACAAGTAGAAAAACAAATACCCAATGCCATTGGATAAATGGGAAGATTTAGACAATATATGGTAGACAAATCATGTTTGTTTCAAATATTTAATTCACTTTCAATGTCTTATAATTTGTAAAGTAGGACTCATTACAAAAGAGAAATTTTAAATTACATTTATTAAAACTGTTTCCTGTTAGATGCTATTAATACATACAATATGTTTAATATTAAGTATAACCAGTAAAATGATATATGCTTTACAGCCATTGGCTTTCTATATAGAGATGTAAATCAAGTTGGGACCATGGGTTGTGATTCAGCTACTCTGGAAGTTGATGCGTGAGGATCAGGAGTTTCAAGTCACACTATGCTAAGCAGCTACAGCTTGTCTCAGAAAAAGAAAAAATAAATGAATTTTAAATCAATGGTTAACTGGAACCAAAATATAGTTTTAAGGAAGACACAACATAGGCATTTTCAGCTTAAAAAGAAATCTGATCTGAAGTCAATGAGCTCAGCACCAGACAGCTCCGAGATGGATACAGAAGGATAGAGGGTAATTAAAATGTCATTTCTGTCTTTTTGGAACCTCATAGTTACATTCATTCATGTCAATACATACTTTCATTTGCTTCTAAAAAACACTACTTTATGAGCCAGATCTTTGCAGGCTTGTTTTAGTTGCTGGTTCCTCAAGTTATAAATAAAAGAGTTCAGCATGGGAGCAACTGAAGTGTTGAGAACAGCTACTCTTTTGGTCAATGATGATCTTTCTGTTGCCGAAAACTTGACATATATGAACATGCAGCATCCATAAGAGATGGAGATGACAATCAAGTGAGAGGAACAGGTGGAGAAAGCCTTTTTCCTCTGGGTGGCAGATAGAATTCTCAATATGGTGGTTATGGCGCATATGTAGGACAGAATCACTAATGCCAGTGTGAACAACAGAGCAACAAAGGCAAAGTAAAAGCCAAACCTCTCCAACAGCCATGTGTATGAAAATGAGAGCTGTAAATTGGGAAAGTAGTCACAAGAGAAGTGATAGATGACATTGGAAGCACAGAAATCTAGCTTGAGGATAAGGATGAGTGGTGGAAAAATGGTCAGAAATCCTGCCAGCCAAGAAGTGAAGACAAGAAGCGTGCAAATTTTCCTATTCATGATGGTGATGTAAGGCAGAGGCTTGCAGATGGCAACATAACAATCATAGACTTCAGACATACCATGGAGATGAAGAAGAATAATTGAGCTAAATAGTTGTTATAGGAAATGGTCTGGACTTTAGTAATTATTGACCACAAAAATCTAGGGTTGGAAACACTCGTGAATATAATTTCTAAGAAGGAGAAATTCTGGAGAAAGAAATACATAGGCATCTTTAGACATGAGTCTAGCCATGTCAGCATGATGATGGTTGGGTTTCCAGTGACACTTAACAGATAAGTCACAAATAAAAAGATAAAAGTTACAACCTGAAGTTCTGGTTCTCTGATATGCCCGAGTATAAACTCTGTGATCACAGTGTGGTTTCTCCTACTGAATTTTTTCTTTCACCAAAATCTGTTGATTAAAAAATAAAACACACATTGAATTTAATATAAAAGAAGTGAACATTGGCAATGAAATGAAGCAATGAACATTTTCCCAGTTGCAATTTTATGATATCTGCTCATTCCTTTAAAGAGAAAACATATACAGCCCATAGTAAAAAGTAAACTTGTATTCACAGATTAATACCTATAAGTCAGCATCAGTGATTTTACATAACACCAGTGCACATAATTAAATTCTCCACATGCAGTACACCTTTGAATAACATATTTATACAGTATTTATTAGCTATATCTGTAGTTTCAATATTGAGACATTGTTTTCCAGTTTCAAGATTGTTTGCTTTTACATCTGAAATCTCAATTTAACTTTGAATTCTGATGTCATTTACAAAAATAAAAACTTTCCTGGTGCAAATTCACAATTGCTGCCTTCTAGAGAAGTGCTGGACAAGAAAGGGGTCTGAGCTCTTCTCGGTTTGGTTATATATTTTTTTTAGAAAAGTCTCTTGTTTTTCCTGGGCTGGTCTAGTTTGTGATCTTCCTCAGGCTTTCTATATAGTTAAGGTTACTAATGAGCACCACCACAGCTATTGTTTTCCTTGTTGTTGAGACTGAATCTAATTATGATCCTTCTGGTTCCATCTTCAAGTAGCTGGGATTATAGGCATGGGGTAGTGCTTCTGGCAGAATTACTGATCTTAATGAAAGTTATAATTTTTATTTGTAACATATATTCTTTTCAATGTGGGTGTAGAACTAAATGTGTTTACAATCACACAAATATATTAAATAGTGTAGCCTTGGTTGTAAAAGAAAATCAAGTCCTTAGTTTATTGGAATGAAAACAGAGTTCAGAGAAATAAATTATTACTCAAAGAGAGCTGAATAACATCATTCTACAACATACTGTTACATTTATATCATTATCATACATATTATTTTATTTAACAATTAAGTTTTTGTGGTTATTCACTTAGTGTTATTACTCTTAAATTTGCCCGAGGACAAAAAAATAACTGATACCAGAGTTTTTTGATGTCAAAACATAGCATTGTGTCTCTTACCAAAGACTAATTAGAATAAATTAAACTTTTAATAGCATTAATATCATAGTAACCACAAGGCTTGAAACTGTAAGTGATATGACTTCTATCTGTCATGTTCTCTCCTTATAAGTAGAAAGCAACATTTTGTCTGCGGTATGTTGTCAGTTCACTTGTTGTATGACTGTATTCACATACCCTAAAAGAAAGCAGTTTGACAATACTGACCCTCAGTTGAGTTGGCCAGTAGAACAGTAGAGGATAACTATCAAAGCTAGTAGCAACAGGCATTTTTCTGTCTTTCTGTTTTAGGTTATGAATATACTTTTCTTTAGGAATATACATATTTTGTCATTCATCTAGCATTAAGAGTGGCAGATCAAAGGCAGAGACCATTAGTGTAGTTGGAGCAATGGTCAAAAGGTGAAAATCTATAGTTAATAATTATAAATATGTCAAAGTGATAATTTGAGTATACTTGCAATTTGTTCCAATAAAATAAACTTTTCAATGATAGGCAAAAATGCATTTTTTGACAAATATGAAGCATACATTTTGATATGTCCAATGATATCAATTAGAAATATAACCTAAATTTGCCTTTATTTATTTAAATTGTGAAATATATTAATAGTTTAATTCAGAACATCTATTACATAAAAGACTCTCACAGGTTGAATTAAGGATAAAATTTCTACCAGCATTTGCTCAAAGTAAAAATAAAATCTCTTTTATAGTTTTTATTTTTCTGTACAAACAAAAATATTGCTTGGTTCTAAACTTCAAAACCTACTATTAATCTGAGAATTTTAAAGTTAATTTCCAGGGTACACCAGTAACCTTATGGTACTGGAAGACAAAACATATTAAAGTTCTCTGGATAAGATAAAGACTGAATCCCACACAAAGATAACACAATTTATGTTCTCTGGCCACTGTCTACACCACTGAAAAACTGGGTTGAAGAAAGCAAGGATGCCAGCAGAACATTCAATAAATGTGGTAATATCATGACACATCTTTCTGGAAAGCCAACTAATATAAGGTTCTATCAGATTTTTTAAATATATTTACCCATAAACACTATCACACAAACTCAGAGATATTTTATCTTTGTATACTTTATGTAATTTTACAAACCATATAAAAGCAACAAATTTGTCAACAGTGTGTAAGAGATATCCCTGTGAAGTTATCTAGAAAATGTTTATCATTTCATAAAAATTCCTTAGAGTAGGAGGGTAGAGTTTTATATATAAATTTTTAATTTCACTATTGATAAAGATTAGAGAATTATGCTATTACCAATTTCAATCATTAGTTACAAAACTGTATGTATTCATTTGTACAAGTATAATTGGTACAATTATAAAATCTAACTTTGTTACATATTTCAGCTTTCTCTTCCTAGAAAAAAGAATGAACCCTTTTCATTGCATCCTACTCAGCATTGAGTATTACAAATTGCTTAAAAGTTTTATATGCAGAGTGATGAAGATGTTATCTAAATTCATTTAATGATAAAGATAGTATCATGAAGACCATTCACAATGCCTGGGTTTTGAAGTTAACGAGATACTTTTTTTTTGCCAGCACAGTAAATTTATTTGATCTAAGTATCATTTTTCTTACCTAAAAAATGAGAGGACTGATAGTTTTAACTCATAGGATGCTACAAAGTTTAAGTGAGACCTGTACAAAAGTGCTTAGGAATAGTTAGGGTACAGTGATTAATATATACATTTTATATATTTAAATTTTTTCATATAGCTTAAATAATAGATTGAGCATTTTTTGATGGTACTGGGATTTTGAACTCTTCTTTGGACTTGCTAGGCAAGCATTGTAGCACCTGTGCCATGCCTCTGACCCTTTATGCTTTAGTTATTTCTTGTATAGGTCTCAGATTTTTGCCTGGGTCAGCCTGGATCATGGTCCTCCTATTTATCTGCTCACATATTTGGGGTGACAGACAAATGACACAACACTTAGTTTATTAGTTGAGATTGGAATCTTACAAGATTTTTGCATGGACTGTGGCTTTGAACACCAATCTTCCTGACTTCTGCCTCACAAGTAATTGGGATTGCAGATGTGAGCCACCAAGCCTGGCCTCGATCAAGCATTTTTTTTCAGTATTTATAATACTTTTTGATGAATTGTCTAATAAGTATTCACTTTTCATTAGATTTATTGTTTTATTAAGAGACATTTATGTATATTAATGTGTGTTTTCTGTTGCAATATGTTTTGGAGCCTATTCTTATTTTCTTGGTGTCCTATTTTTTTTTTGAGGACGTCCTTTTCAAATTATATAAATATTCATTTATATTTAATACTTCTATACTTGTGATTTTAGCAAACAGCTTTAAACCATCCAGAATTTTTCTTTTTTTTTTTAAGTGTATTTATTTATGGTTCTGGGGATTGAATCCAGAGCATTGAGAATTCTGGGCAAATACCTTACCACTGAGGTACACACCCAGTTCCAGAATTTATGCTCATATGCAATATGGGTCTATTTGTGCTGCTTTTCAATGAACAATCAACTGCCCTAACAAATTAAGTCTAGAAATAATATGAAAGTCTGGGCAGTGAGATACCAAGAGCACCCATATCATGTTATCTTCACAACACCTCTATGCCAGAACTTTCATAATGAAATCCATATGCGATCTGTGAGCTAGGGATGAAACAAAATCTAATAAAATATAATCTTGTTGTGAGATAGTTGAAGTTCTCACTTTTAAGTACAAAAACCCAACATTCCTTTTTGCAAGGGCCTTGATGACCTTTTACTGCCTCAGACTCACTTCATACCATCACAATTCATCCCTTACTGCACCAGTGAGCTCAGCATTGCAGGCAGCTGTGAAATGGATACAGGAAGATAGAGGTTAATTAAAATGTCATTTCTGCTTTATTGAATTCTCACAATGGTATTCATTCATGTCAACCATATTTTCATTTGCTTCTAAAAAAACACTACTTTATGAATCATATCTTTGAAGGCTTGTTTTAGTTGCTGGTTCCTCAAGGTATAAACAAAAAGGTTCAACTGGGAGCAACTGAAATGTTGAGAACAGCTAATCCTTTGGTCAATGATTATCTTTCTGTTGCTGAAGGCTTGACATACGTAAATATACGACTTCCATAAGAGATGGAACAGGTGAGAGGAACAGGTGAAGAAAGCCTTTTTCCTTGGTTGGCAGATGGAATTCTCAATATTGTGGTTATCATGCATATGTAGGACAGAATCACTATGCCAGTGTAACAACAGAGTAACAAATGCAAAGTAAAATCCAATCTTCTCTAACAGCCATGTTTCTGAGCATGAGAGCTGTAAAATGTGGATAGCCACAAAAGAAGTGATCAATGACACTGGAAGCACAGAAATCCAGCTTGAGGATAAGCATGAGTGGTAGGAAAATGGTCAGAAATCTTGCCAGCCAAGAAATGAAGACAAGAAGGGTGCAAATTTTCCTATTCATGATGGTGGTGTAATGCAGAGGCTTGCAGATGGCAACATAATGATCACAGGACAAAGCAGTCAGAAGAAAGAATTCAGACATACCCATGGAGATGAAGAACAGTTGTTATAGGAAAAGACCTTGACTTTAGTAATTATTGACCACAAAAATCTGGGAATGGAAACACTCGTGAATATAATTTCTAAGAAGGAAAATTTCTGGAGAAAGAAATACATAGGTGTCTTTAGATGTGAGTCTAGCAATGTCAGCATGATGATGGTTAGATTTCCAGTGACACTTAACAGATAAGTCAGAAATAAAAAGATAAAAGTTACAACCTGAAGTTCTGGGTTCTCTGATATGCCCAAGAATATGAACTCTGTGGTCACAGTGTGGTTTCTCATATTGAATTTTTTCTTTCAACAAAATCTGTTGATGAAAAAGAAAGCAGAGTAAATTTTTATGTAAAAGTATTAAAAATTAAATACTGGCATTAAAATCTCCAATGAAATCAAGCGAAGGAACTTTTTACTATAAGAATTGTTGCACTATCCTCTAATCCTGATTAAAACCTGTTGAAAAGGTAACACATAAACACAGACTTTCCATAAAGTCCTCTCATGAGTGATTTTACATGAAACTCTACTTATGTCTTCCATATGTACAATAAATCATTGAATTACAGTTTTCTGTAATCTTTTTAAATGTATTTGGATTTTGAGTTTTTAGACATGGTTTTCCAGTTGCTATGATTGAATGCTTTTGGAACTAAAATACCTAATTTTTAGTTTTGTTTCCAATGTCATTTACAAAACATACAATTAACTTAGTAGCTAATTTTTAGCTTGTAAGTTATGTTCTTTTAAGTTTGACCACAGGATTAAATGTGCTTGCAATCACAGAAAGAAAACTCTAGAATTGCATTGGTTGTAAACAAGTAATGTTCCTGTCTTTTAGGAAAGAAAACAGAAGTCAGTGAAATTAATTTATACTCATGGAACTCTAGCTGAATAGTATAGTTTTAGAACCTACTGAAGCATTAGTACTATTTTTATGCTTGTTGTTTTAATTAACATGGCTTTTTCCTCCACGTTTACTTTGTTAAGGGAGGAACTCACAAAGAAGATGTTTTGATGCCATAATATAGTGTTGCCTCCATTACCTAGGACAAACTAATCAGAACAAATAAAAATTTTCCTGAATTTATACCATAGAAACCTTGTAGCTTTAAAATGTAACTGATATGACTTCTTTCTGCCTTATTCCTTACATGTAGCAACCAGTATACTCTCTGTGAAATAAGTTCTGAATTATATATATTGTATTACTTTTTTATGTATCATGGAATGCATAACCCAGTAGGCAGTAAGGATTAAAAGTAATATTGGATATATTTTCACATTTTCTATTTTATATCAGTAATTTTTTCCTTTACAAATATACATATTTTGTTAATCATCTGTCATTACAACTGGCAGATCAAAGGGAGAAACTATTATGGTTTGAACAATGGTTGAAACATATTGAAATCTATAGTTAATAGTTATAAATGTGTTAAAGTGATAATCTGTGGATACTTGCAGTTTTTTCCAAAAAAATAATCTCAGTGACAGACAAAAATACATTTATTGACAAATATGAAACATACAATTTTGAAGTCTGATGATACCTATACTGTATTTGATTTCATTTACTAAAAATACAAAGTGCATTAATAGTATACTGCAGGAGACATCTTTCAAAATATAGTTCACCCTGGCATCTATTACAAAGAAGCATCTCACACAGAAAAAGCACAGGTTGAATTAAATGTGTGATTTATATGAACCTCAGTTTGAAATAAAAATAAATTTCCCTTTTATATCTTTTATTTTTCTATACAAACAGAAATATTGCTATGAACAGAACTCCCAAATTTACTATTGTTAACCTGAGAATTCTTAGGTAAATTCCGGGGTATACCACTTTATGATGCTGGAAGGCAAAATGTGTCAGAGTTCTCTGGAAAAGATAAAGATTGAATCCCACACAAAATAACACAATTTACCTTGTCTGGCCATTGAACAAACCCCTGAGAAAGTGGGATGAAGAAAGCAAGGATGCCAGCAGAGTGGAGTTTAAGAGATGTGGCAATGTCATGACACATCTTTCTGGAAAGCCAAGCAATATAGGGAGGTACAGCAAAGTGTACCGATCTGCTGACACAGTCAGCCTGGTTTCCCTTTGGCCAAACTTCATTTTCCTAATGTGCACATGAACTCAGTCTGCACTCAGGAGATAATGTATTCTCAATTCCTGTGGGATTGGTTTATTCTACAGTGGACCCTCCTTTGAATGTGTGACCCATATTTTATTCATTATGTATCTCTGCCAACATAGAGAAGAATGAATGACAAGAAAAGTATTTTAAACTTATTTTTCACTTTGAAGTTGACATGTTTATTGTTACAATAATCAAGTTTCACAAGTATTCCTGTGGACATACATAACAGTCCTTATTCTTCCTATCAGGCTTCCATTTCCTTTAGATCTTTAATTTAATCAGCATAAAACATTTCAGTATGGCTTACCAGACATTTTTCCTGTTTATTTACTCACAAGACAAGTCACAATTACACACCAAAGAGATAGTTTATCTTTGTATACCTTATGCAATTTTATAAACTTTACAAATGCAACAAATTATCCAATTTTACTACAAAAATATTCAGCCACTTTCCTGTTTTTCAGTTAACAAGGTGTAACTAATATCCTTGGCATGTTATCTAGAAAATGTTCATTACCCTGAAACAATTGCCCAGAATAGCTGACTAGATTTATATATAATTTGTTAATTTCATCTTTGATAAAGATTAGGGAATTAGGGAATGCTAATTTCACATCTTTAGTTACTACACTGCATTCTTACATATTTATTTGCATATGCACAATTTATATATGTGCAAACCAACTTTTGTTATATACTTCAGCATTTCCCTCCTACAGACAAAAATGAACCCTTTTCATTTCATCCTAGCCTATATTCAATATTATAAATGATTTTATAACCAGACACAAAAATAATATCCCAATTCAGTCAATGTGTAAAGACTATATTATAAATACTAGCTCTCTGTGCCTGGGTTTTAAGTTAATAAGACAATTTCTCTGAAAACTTGAAAAATTATTCGAAGGTTTTTAAAGGAATTTAAGTCTATTTATTGTCTCCATTAACTATTAATTACAATATAGTAAACAGTTGGATAACATTCGATTAGTACAAAGTTTTCTTGGAGTCTAGAAACAGAAACCTAAATACCAAATATACAGCCTACATATGAGCAATGAGTTGGGGTAAAAAAAAGCATGTGGATCAATAATGTAATTATGAAATTTTGTTTGCTCATTTAGGCCAGCAGGTACTAAATTTCCAACATCTCTAATGAGTCAATTACTTTTCCATGAGACAAGTCTTAGATATTCCATGATTCATGACATAGATTTCAACTTTCTTACAGGAATGTCTCACTAGAGGAAAGTTTAAATATCCTCTTTGTTTTGTTTAAATAATGAAAACTAAGCAGGATTTGTCAAGTTACTTTATCTGGGTAAGGAAATTGTTGGCAGTAATGAAAATTTTTCCTTTCAGGAATTTTGCAAATAAACTGTAACATTTATGTGTCTATTTAAAACCAAAACAAGTTGTGTTTTGTGGTGCACACCTGTAATGCCAGCACTTGTGTGATGAAGGTAGGATGATTAAAAGTTGGAAGTCAGCCTGGGCTAAAGAGCAATTTCAAGGCCACCCTGAGTTCCACAGCAAGACCTTGTCTCAACAAAGCAAAGTCTAGAATGTAGCAAGGTCTAGAATGTATATGTATATATACATTCTATGTATATATATAATATATATATAAACAAATAAAGAAAAATTTCAGAATGGTCCTCTATTCCTTCCAGAATGGTATGTTGATACCACTTAAAAATAAGTTCTGATTAAATAATGACTGCAATATTTCCCTAATATTTAGAAAAACCTGTTCTCAAATGCAGAGGAAATACGTCATGGTATCAAATATTTTTTGATAAAAGAAGCAACTGCGTAATTTTTTTGTTGAAAGTAACCAGTGCTATTGATGCAAAACTAAAAGCAACTCCCCAAAAAATCCCAACTCCCCAAATAGTACTTTCAAAACCAATACCTTGAACTTGACTTTTATTCAAATATAATTTTCACAGCAATAATTCAACAGCCAAGACTCAGATTTTATATCTATTTACCTGTCATCTATCTACCTGTTTATCAGTCCATCTCTATCTATCATCTATCATTTATCTGCTATAAGCAATGCAAACAATTATTGAGCCTCATTTCTGGACAAGA